TTCAATGAATGACCTAAAAAAACTATGAAATCATGATTTTCACTTGAAAAACTTAAATGCTTCACGCACGTGGGACTGAAAAAATCACAAAACCCAGATAAAAATTAAAATCACGTATTTTACCGTACTGATAAAAACCCAAAATTATTAGTATTTAATGTAAATTAACCAATTTACGTCGAAATGCATGTTAATTTCCATGCTGCAGTTTTTAGCGTCTTTGTTATGCATTATTGGGCATGAATTTGATAAAAACACCTAATATTAATGCTTGTTGGGTACCCAAGGAAACTCTTTAATTTACATATAGGGTGAGCAACAATCGGTCAAGGATACTTTGTAGGTACCATTATTATTATTATTGGTTTTTGGGCCTTCATTTGCGCCAGCTAGACCAGGTTTGATCTATTGTGGCAGCCCTTGTCTTTAGAGTTCACTGCTTAGTCCCGTTGAGTCTATAAATTTACAGATTCTTTGGAGCGTGATATCTGCTATCTCATCCGGGTGCATGATGTGTCGCCCGAGATGGATACTTCTTTTGCTTTAAGCGGGAAGCATGAGCAAAGAACATGCATGGCCGTTTCTTCTTCTGTATGGCAGAATCTGCACAGAGTTTCCTCGGTCATGTTCATGTTTGATATGTGTTTAGTTTGCAGTGGCCGGTTAGTATTCTAGTCACTGCACAGGCTTTGTATCTTTTGAACTTTAGCAGTTCCTACTTCCTTAGTTACTTTGTTGCTATATCCCTGAATGAGTGCTTTTGCGTGTTTTTGTCCCGATGTAGACTTCCACCACTCAATAGCCTCTTGTTTGCAGAGGGCGGTTAGTAGCGTGGTGGCTCGTTGTTTGGTGATGCCACAGAACGGTTCTACGCTGATTTGAGCGTTATCGGCTTGTAGGTACCATGTGGTTAGCTATAAAACATTGTATCCTTTTAAAGTTAGTTCTTTTAAATACCTACCAAGATCTCTGATCAAGAATATCGATGGAACAACTCCGAGGTCTTAATCGATTTTCTGTACGATAACGTGTGTGGGCTCATGCGTAATTAAAAGTCGGAAAAAACCAATCCCTTATTAAAATACAAGATAATTCCAAAACAAATTCCACAATGTTTAAAAATATGCGAAAAATTCCAAGACCGGGAACACGAGTCGCTTTTATCATGGTCTGAGAAAAATTCTCACGTAAATTCAAGTGTTCCTCGAAATATCGTTACATTTTTCATCAACAAATATATCGACACATCTGTTGCTATCTGCGATATAAAAGGAAAGCTGCCTTCAAACTCAATCTGACGCCCTTATTCAGTATTCAACACAATATAATAACCCCAAATGACCCCAATCGATCCAATCAGATCAAAGTTTCCTGCTGAATTGGGACCACCTCCGTTGCCACTGTCAGGTAGATATATCTCCTGTAATGCCAAGATATACAGCTTGGCAGATATCTGAAATATCATAATATGCCCTTGACTTGTCCTGAATTCATTATGCTGCACAGCTATGAATTTCTAGACCTTCTCCCATTTTCTGATTGTAAAGAAATGTGCATTTCCAATTTTCATGGTCATAGAATAGTAAAATTGACAGCTGCTGAAGACCCTAAAATTCCGTCACGAACGAAGCACTCGGATGACCGTGACGGCGTCCATTGAAGATGACTATTCAAAGAATTCGACTAATATCAGGTCATTCCCTCTTAGTCTTCTGTCCATTAGCTTTGGGAGACTCATTAAGAAGGGATTAGCAAAAACGATTGTTCTAGTCTCTAGTGTACTATTTTATCACATGTAGAGAAAAAACAGATTAATAATGGATCTGAAAATGAACATCACACATTACCCCAACTACACTCGACGTCAAATAAATCGCACCTCCCGCGACAAGCATTTTCAAACGTATGCATCCCCACTTCCCACCAATATTGGTACCATATAAAAGCCTAGTTCTAACCTTCATTTCATTAAAGGAAAGGTTTTTACCCCAAAAATGTGTCCTTAGAAGAATCCAGAGTCACTTCTTCAAAAAATAGGTAGTTACGCTAGAGCCAACTTTTATGGCTATAAAACTGTTAAGTTGGGTTTAATTGCTATCCATCTGTTAAAGAGGACACGTGAAATCATTATTTGGTTTTATAACCATAAAAATTGGTCTAATTGATCCCATAGGTGGGCCCAAAGTGAGGTATTTTTTCAAGTCACATTTAATTATTAAGAAATTAAATGTGTTTTTCTTTAAGGATATTTATTGGCCTTTTAAATAACACCAATATTGTTGGGGTACCATGATTGTGTTAGAAGAAAATCGTTAAAGTTCGCGTCGCGGAAGGTGCGGTTTATTTGATGTTGAGTATAGGATGAAGTGGGGCACTCATTGGGAAAACCACATCGATCTATCAAAATCATTCTCAGACCACGTGCCATAATGTCAGAGTTCAGGACACCTGCTGCGTACTTAGCTAGGTAATTAATATTCTCGCAGAGAGGAAAACACCGATTTGGAGTTCAATCGCTTATGTTGACAGACGCGCCTACATTCCGATCTTTACCGAATAGTTCAAGAGTGTATTTTTAGCTAGGTTTATGAATGCTATTTGCTCCTAAGCAGAAATAATCTTTGCATCCACTTAAACCCCTTTTTGGAACACGTTACCTTGCTCTCCAAGCTCACAATAAAGATCACTTGTACCTGAAACAATTCTAGAATCAAATTATGTCAAAATATTAAAAGATACTCAAATCAATTATCTCGGGGTAAGAAACTATCGTTCAAAAATTTAATGAATTCCAAAAACGTTGATGAAACATAATTAAGTAGAGCCAAGTCTGCGATCATTTTATTAATGGCATCCTGAGTCATTTTAGCTCCACAAGCAAACATGTCATTTCTTCAAAAGTTAATTCGTAGGTGTCAACTTATGATATCAAAAGCCTCAGCATATGGCTTCATACGGAATTCCGACACCCACTCTTTAACCCTACCCTTATTAATAACATGTTAGAATCTAATATTGCTCATAACTCTGTNAAGAATGATTAAGAATGATTAAATAAGTGTACCTACTTGTCTACTTATTTTAGTTAGATTAATATGGCTTTCTAATTCATACATAAATAAGCTAGTTATTTGAATGGGCGGAAAATGGCAAGCGAAGAGAAATCTGGACCGGATCGTAGAGCCTTGGCTAGGAACGCCGGTTCTCTTCCCGACAGAGTCTGCATCCGTTCGAATTATACTTAGGCTGAGTTGCACCACCTAACTTTAACGGTAACTATGACGATAACCGGTGCTTTTTGTATGGAGTTTGACAGATTTTGCGTTTATTCCCGATGTCCCCCACTATTTGTCCACCACTGGTGGACATCGAGAAAAAAAGTTGCAATGTCCACCAGTGGGGGACAGCGCTACTGAAATCTTCCCGTTGGGCCCTACTGGTAGACACTGAGAAGAAATGAGTTGCTCTGTCCCTCAGTGGTGGACATCGAAACCAAAAAAGTTCCGTTGTCCCCCACTATTTGTTTTGTGTTCATGAATACAAACATTTTAAGTAAATCTTATACTAATAATTATAATACATACATTTTAAAAGTATTTTTATTATAGTTTAAAACAATCCTTAAATTATACTGACGCCCTTAGGAAGTGTGCGTTAATCGGAACGGTTTTGTCGTTTTTAATTTTCCAAGTACCCACAATGTTCATGTTATCAGAAATTATTGTGTCGGTAATGTTACTATTTTGCACTTATTATCTGTAATAATGTCGGAAATTGCAGGATCTAGTTCACGACAAATTGAAAAAGTTTACATAAATAGGAAAGGTGGTTGTTAAAAAACTGAGAATTATATTTGATTCGAATTTAAAAAAAATATTTTTTAGGAATCACGAAAACAAAACAAATAATGGGGGACAACGGAACTTTTTTGGTTTCGATGTCCACCACTGAGGGACAGAGCAATTCTTCTCAGTGTCTACCAGTATGGCCCAACGGGAAGATTTCAGTAGCGCTGTCCCCCACTGGTGGACATTGCAACTTTTTTTCTCGATGTCCACCAGTGGTGGACAAATAGTGGGGGACATCGGGAATAAACGAATTTTTGACGTTTGTCAAAGCTAAAGTAAGATGTGGTAAGATGGTGCAACCCACCCTTAATAGTACATTACCTACGAACGTAATAAAATTAGGTACCTACCTACAAGGTTAGATCATCAAGGTATTATTTAAGTTTATTAATATTTTAAGTATTGCATTTTAAAATACAACGCCCGAAAACTTTGAATGTTAATCCAGAAAAATAATTTATTTTAAAATTAAGTTACCAAAAAATTGAATTTTTTTAAACAGTTTGATTTAAAAACGTAACGTAAAAGCTTCAAGTTATTAATACTAAAAATTTCAATTTCAATTTTCTCAATGTATCTCTCAAACAGTGACATCTATTGATACCTTTGAAACCAAAGTGTAAATAAAGAACCTACTTAGATGGCAGTCTTATCCCTTTTTATAATACTCAGTAGAAGTTATAATAGATGGCGCTGGTAGGCTGAGTTATTCATTACTTTTGTGATTTTTACTCATACAAAGCTGAAACTTATTTTTTCCTAAACAAATACATTTTTTAATCTGAAATTACCTGTATTTTCACATACCGTAACTGAACAAACATTTTGTACAAAAATAAAAAATGTGTGCTGATAATGGCAACTCCAGTTTATAAACTCTGCTACTCAATACTAGATGGCGCTACAAGTCAAAAGTTGCTTTATGACTTTCATTTGTATTGCGTGTTTTCTTTGTACTAAAGTAGTATTATTGGCACAAAGCACTCAATGGATAAGAAAGTTAAGTCAAACTAGCTAATTATTTTTATTTGAACTCGGTGGACGACCCGGTAACAAAGTTATTATGCCTACATTCATTGAAATTTTCCATCTTAACAGGTTTTTGATGCTTTGTTATAAATTTTTTAAAAACTAGCACAAATAATTTCAATTTAAAAATCTAAAACACATTTTTTTGGCTGCTTATTTGGAAGGTGGTTCGCCTACATTTGCCACCGCCATCTCATCGCTCGGCTGCGGTACGTCATTGGCAGTGAACGGAACGAAGTGTTATCGTATAGATCGCTGGCTGGCTGTCTGAAAATAGTGAACCGAGTATGAGTTTTCGAAATATGTTCGAATAAAAAGTGAATAGTGAGTGACTGTCATCCAGCAAGATGGTTGATGACGTGAAAAATATTACCGAAACCGCTGAAAGTAAAGGTATATGTGCAATTACAGTTAAAATGTGTCATTTTGGTGTAAAATGTGATTGAAATTTGTCTAACCCTAAATCGTGTCGTGGCCCCACGTAGTGGTTTTGTTCGGTTCGAGAATGTCCGTGGTGCGATGTGCTCGTCACAATCCAATGTTTTGTTTTTCATCTTTATTTGGACGCCTTTTTCCCGTCGTGGTATGTTCTAAAATTAGCAAAATAGTTGCCAGACAACAGGAATGCGCGGCCGATGATGTTGCGAATGTCATTCTGGTCTCTCTGAATTTGGGTGTTTCGTGCTTAGTTACCGTTATATCTGACTATTTTTTGGCTTTCTACTGCAATTTCACGCTTAATTCTCTCTGAAGAAAGTAGATGAAATCATTAGTTATTCGTATAATGTACGGCTTGAGTCACAAGTTCCGTGATTACCTATGCACTGACGTATTTTATGTACACAACATATTTCTTACATGTAGAATTTGCAGTACACTTTCTAGTCGGCTATCTTATCATGGTTATATCACAATAAATGTAGNCACAATATATGCAGAATTGCACTTTAAAGTCATCAGTCTTGTTGTGGTATGTAGTTAATGAATAGTAATTGTGTAAAAATTGGGATTTACCCTGCCCTAAAACTGTTAAGACACAATATAAAGTAAAAAGATAGGATTAAAAAAGCGTTCAGTAAGTACAGGTCTTAACAGACGATAGGGAGTCCATGGTAGATGTTTTATTGCAGTGTAGACAGTATGAGATACCTAAAAATATTATAAACTTTAGTACCTATTTATCAATAAAAACCATTGGAAATGCATTGCAAGCAATGTCTGCACGGCATGCCAATGCATGGAGTTTATATTCATTTTTAATTGTTAGAAAATAATTTATAACCTATGTAAGCTCCAGTATTATGGATAATATGGGCTACCGATAAGTATTTAATTCCCCATTTGATAAGTTAATTGCATAGAAAGAAACATCATAATCATGATTACAGCAAATACAATCATTATTATACCTACTTGCAGTGTCATAGATTGCTTTTATGACAATACAGATAAAAATTGAAATAAAAATAACAGCAGCATTTTATTTGAATGTGCGTACACTTTCACGAATAATAATTGAATTAATTGGCAATAAGGTTTATATTGCAATTGTATCAACATGCATAGTATTTATTTTTTGTTAATGTTTTCAGCTGTTCTAATGCAATTACTGAAATGCTTGTTTTTCGAGATAAATGTTTCGTAACTGTTTGAGTCACCGTCATCTGATGTCATTTTTAGCTTGGAAAGAGTAAAGTCTGTAATATTGCTACGAGTAATGAAATAGAATACTCTGGTATTCATGAAGTACATATTGCAACGTCAAATTCTTGGATTGCCGAACTGAGGACACTTTAAGAAATCAAAAAGAAATTCAACAAAATTGTTTTTAATTAACCAATTTATTTGTTGTGGTAACTAATAAAATTAGCTCTAGTTACTAATGTATTATAATCATTTAAGTAATTATCTTTTATTCTAAAATAACCTTTCAGTAGAATACAAGAGAGTTTGAAAGATCTAAAAAAGCGTTTTGAGTGTTGCAAATATTACCTACTTTTTAATTCCTTAAAATTATCTTTTACTCATTCACTGTTACAATGTACTGGATAGAGACCCAATTTTACAGGCTTTTTTTCATTGCCATTTATGATAAGGGGGCTTCATATTATTCATGTAATGGTTCAGAATTCCAATAAGACCTGTCAATCAAAATATTCATATTCATATTATTTTTTTGCTCACTAAGTGTAGGTACAGACAACAGCACATCAGGCTATACATTTTCGTTGCAAAGTCGCCCTTATCGCAACTACGTAAGATACCACAGTGTTTACGTTGATGTGCTGTCGACTGTACATAAGGTAACTAATATCCATAACCTGTGACCTTCGTCTGTTATTTATTCTTGATGCTTCTATCACTTACCATCAATGTTTCTCAAGGCACTTGAGATTGAGGTTGCAATTCTGGTTTAGTTGTTAGTGCCTCTGCAATCCTGATGTTCCATTGGATACCAAGCATTTACTTTCTGTTGTACCGGTATGTAAAAAAAATAAAATTATTAACCTACCAGGCTTATGTATTTTAAGTTTTTTCAGTGCCTCCAATATTGGTGGTCATCCATTAATTGCCAATTGTTTATTGCTAGCAAACTTCAGCTATTTGATATTTTATACTGTGGCTCTACAAAGTTATTAATTAACACCTTGGTCTAATGACATTGCGTTTATTATGATGCAATAGTAATATCCACTCAATATATCAACGAATAACGTGTGGGCGCCATTGCCGAAGTTTGGATATCTTTGATATTAAAATTCATTATTAATGCTATCACTCCTACACTCTCATTTGAAATGCATCAATGATTTGCTGCTGTATCAGCTAGTTTTTCTATTTTTTACTAAGTTTATCTACTTGGTATATATTTGAATTTTGAAATATTTTATGTGGAAAGCTACATTTCAGTTTCTTTTACTTTCTTATTTCTAGTGTACAAAATGTTCAAACTATGAAATGACGCCTAAAACTGGATCAATCAAGCATTATTGAATTCTAGAATCATACTAGGTAGGTAGTTGTAAATTTGTAAGATGAGTATAAATATTTAAAAAGATAACGATTTTTAGTCGCCATTTTTGCGGCGGCTTTTATAATAGGAACACGTGTTACTCGTGCGTCCAATCCCAGTTATTGTGAAAGTCAGAAACTTAGTCTAAAAACGGACTATCCGATCAATCTGAGCTGATAACTACCCCTATAATACGGAAGAATTTAAAATAAGTGCGTATGGAGCGTAATTCAATCAATAGCCTTAAAAAACTATGAAATCATGATTTTCACTTGAAAATTTTAAATGCTTCACGCACGTGGGACTGAAAAAATCTCAAAACCCAGATAAAAATTAAAATCACGTATTTTACCGTACTGATAAAACCCAAAATTATTAGTCTTTAATGTAAATTAACCAATTTACGTCGAAATGCATGATTGGTGTTAATTTGCATGCTGCAGTTTTTAGCGTCTTTGTTATGCATTATTGGGTATGAATTTGATAAAAACACCTAATATTAATGCTTGTTGCCCAAGGAAACTCTTTAATTTACATATAGGGTGAGCAACAATCGGTCAAGGATTTTTTGTAGGTACCATGTGGCTAGTTATAAAACATTGTATCTTTTTAAAGTTTTTTATTTTTTTAATATATTTTTTATTAGTTCTGATCACAGGAATATTGATAGAAGAACTTAGAGTTCTGTACAATAATATGCGTAGGCTCATGCTTAATTAAAAGTCCGAAAAAACAATCCCTCAATAAAATAAAATACAATATTATGATTCCAAAACAAATTCCACAATGTTTAAAAATATGCGAAAAATTCTAAGACCGCGAACGCGAATTGTTTTTATCGTGGTCTGAGAAAATTTCTCACGTAAATTCAAGTGTTCCTCGAAAAATCTTTACATTTCTCATCGACAAATATTATCGACACATCTGTTGCTATCTGCGATATAAAAGGAAAGCTACCTTCAAACTCATCTGACGCCCTTATTCAGTATTCAACACAATGTATGTAATAACCCCAATCGATTCAATCGGATCAAAGTCCCCTGCCGGATTGGGACCACCTCCGTTACCACTTTCATGTAAAGCCAAAATATACAGCTTGGCAAATATCTGAAATGCCTATGCCCTTGACTTATCCTGAATTCATTATTCTGCACAGCTATGAATTTCTCGACCTGTCTCCCATTTTCCGGTTGTAAAGAAATGTGCATTTCCATGGTCTTAAATTGCTGAAGACCCTAAAAATTCCGTCACGATCGAAGCACCCAGATAACCGTGACCACGACCATCGAAGATGGCTATTCCAAGAATTAGACTATTATCAAGCCATTCCCTCTTAGTCTTCTGCTTATTAGCATGGGGAGACACTAAGAAGTGGTCAACAGAAATGATGGTCTTATAGCTAATCTACTATAATATCATATCACATGTAGAGTAAAAGCAGATTCATAATGGATGCATCACTCAGTCGAAATCTCAAAATACCCCAACGAGGAAGAAGTTGGGCGATGATTGGGAAAAACACATCGATCTATCAAAATCATTCTCAGACCACGTGCCATAATGTCAGAGTTCTGCTGTCCTGCTGCGTACTTAGCTAGGTAATTAATATTCTCGCAGAGAGGAAAACACCGATTTGGAGTTCAATCGCTTATGTTGACAGACGCGCCTACATTCCGATCTTTACCGAATAGTTCAAGAGTGTATTTTTAGCTAGGTTTATGAATGCTATTTGCTCGTAAGCAGAAATAATCTTTGCATCCACTTAAACCCCTTTTTGGAACACGTTACCTTGCTCTCCAAGCTCACAATAAAGATCACTTGTACCTGATATAATTTCTAGAATCAAATTATGTCGAAATATTAAAAGATACTCAAATCAATTATCTCGGGGTAAGAAACTATCGTTCAAAAATTTAATGAATTCCAAAAACGTTGATGAAACATAATTAAGTAGAGCCAAGTCTGCGATCATTTTATTAATGGCATCCTGAGTCATTTTAGCTCCACAAGCAAACATGTCATTTCTTCAAAAGTTAATTCGTAGGTGTCAACTTATAATATCAAAAGCCTCAGCATATGGCTTCATACGGAATTCCGACACCCACTCTTTAACCCTACCCTTATTAATAACATGTTAGAATCTAATATTGCTCACAACTCTGTTAGATATAACGTCTTTATTGCAAATTGCATTAAGTTCATTTTACACAGACTTGACAAGTTGTACACGGACCGGCAAGGTCGCCTTTCCTAATATACAGTCTTGTTCATATATTATGGTTTTATTGCCAAAGGCATTGTACCGTGAATTGATTTTATTTGATTTAGTCTACCGATTGATATAAAACTTAATCCTAATGCGTTGTTGACATGGCATGTT